CAAGTCTTATACCCTGGGGGCACAAGCCAATATTTGTTGCTACAGTTGTAAAATATTAAATAGATATATAAGCATTATAAAGTTAAAGGTTAGCATCAATAATAGACATTTTTGTTTAGATCATTAAAGATTAAAGGTCAACTAAAGGGGTTTTGGATATCATATGTTGTTTTAAATTGTAACTAGTTGGAAAAATATACGTGTAATGTTAAGATTATGCCAAAAAGAGCATTATAAATATAGCCTCATGAGCAATAAAGTTTTGCAGTGATTGCCATCCTCATCGAAGGTGTGTGGTCTCTGTCTATCACCGCTTCTCTCATCTCCCCCTTCGGGCCCGATCCCACTGGAGCAGGTCTCCAACAGTTTACTAGCTAAAAACTCCCTTATAGACGGTGCTGTGTGAGCTGGTGCATTGTTGTGATGCAAGAACTCCTTTGAGACTATTTTTGCACACACTTTTCTCACGAAGATTTTCAGTTAAGACTTTCTTGTTTCTCTATTGATGTTTATTTGATCTGCTATGCTTCTCATAGCCAATCATTTGATACACAATTCGATGAATTTTTGAAATGTTTTCATCAGTTCTGCTCATTACTGGCTATTCTGACCTCTCTTCATCAGTGACGCTTTCTCTTCCCTCAGGAAAATGTGAATCCATTTGTATACTGCCATTTTCTTCATGGCATTATCCCCATAAACTAACATGTCCCTGATTTCACTTCCACTCTTGCCAGTTTAACAAGAAACTTAATGTTTGCTCATTGCTCTAATTCAAGCTCTGACCTTCTTGCAACAGCACAAAAAAACATGCAACAACAATGAACACCACTCAGCAAGACGCCGCCACATGTTGACACAAACAAAACTGTGAGGCACCGAAATACCAAGGTTATAAAACCTTACCGAGGTGTTTGTACAGTGCTGCCAATGTAAGCATACGGTGGCAAGTTCACAAACTTAATTGTCGGATCTTGCATATTGCATGATGGTGAGGTTAGGCATCTATCAAACCCATCACTCTAATAGTGAACATGGTACCCAGTAGGTAGTTTTTCAAACCTTCCCCCTTCCCTCCCTCTCTCCTTTAGAGGTCCCCAGTGTCCATTGTTGCATCTTTATGTTTGTGTGCACTCAATGTTTAGCTCCTACTTATAAGTGAGAACATGTGGTATTTGGTTTTCTGTTTCTACACTAATTTACTTAGGATAATAGCCTCCAGCTGCATCCATCTTGCTGCAAAGGGCCTGATTTTGTTCTTTTTATAAAAAGGCTGCACAGTATTCTGTGGTGTATATATACAGGATTTCAGATTGTTAATGTAATTATTTCTAACTTGGTTGAATTTTATAGCCATTTAAATAGAAAAATATTGAAACTAGTGTCTCAATATAACTGATTTTTGTTCATTTGTTATGCCTTTGTTCATTTATCGTTATGCTAATATTAGTTTTGATAATTTGAGATTTGTTTAGGTATACTGCAAGGTCAAATAAAATTAAATGTATTTGCTAATGTGGTTGGGAAAACCATATTTTCAGATACTAGTAAAATTTTATGAAATTAATGAAATGAAGTGTTAAAAATTCTTAAAAATATAAATAGTATAGATTAGTATTAAAATTTTAAAATATATGTTCTAACTCCTCTCCAAATCCATTGAAGGTTGTCTAGATGCAATGATATCCCATTGGCTAAAGAAGTCCGATTGACACCCCTAAGGCAGTCAGGTAGGAGTTTTCAAATACCTTTGTCCAGTACAAAGGAACCAGTACTTGGAGAAATGGCTGACTCCATGTATGCTGGAGTGAATATGAAGGAATAATCTGGGAATTTGGGGTATTGTAACTATAGTACTTTATCAACAGTATATTTCTTTTTTTTTTTTCTTTTTGAGTTGGAGTCTCACTCTGTCACCCAGACTGGAGTGCAGTGGCCGCTCCCGGCCACGGCAGCCTCGACCTACTGGGCTCCGGCGATCCTTCTGCCTCAGCCTTCCGAGTAGCCGGAATTACAGGCACGCACTACCACACCCGGCTGATTTTTGATTTATTGTAGAGATGAGGTCTCGCCAAGTTGCCCAGGCGGGTCTTGAACCCGCGGGCTCAGGCAATCCACTCACCTCAGCCTCCCAAAGGTGCGGGATTACAGGCTGAGCCACCGAGCCTGGCTAACAGTATATTTCAAAGGGCAGAAGTTATTATAATGAACTCCAATTTATTGGTTTTTAATTTTATATGTTGCTTTTTGTGTCCTGTCTGAAAAATGTGCATCACTCCAAGTCACAGTTTTCTTTCAGAACTTAGTTTCTAGCTTTATAAACACTTATGTCCACTACTTATTTCAAGTTAATTTTGTATTTATTTATTTGGTATGAACTAAAATCGAGGGGTTTTTTTGCATATGGGTTTCTATTGTTCCAGCACTATATGTTGAAAAAGAAATTGCTGATTGACTTACTTTGATAATTTTGTTCAAAATCAGCAGCCATATACATGGGTTCATTCTAGAACCTATCCTGTTTCATTGACCTGTCTATTCTCACACCAACACCACAGTCATAACTATATAGGTCTGAGTAAATATTTTGCAGTTTTTGAAGTCTTCCATGTAGAAGGCTATGTTGTCTAAAAATAAAGACATTTTTATTTCTTCCTTTCCAGACTGCAGGGTCTTACTCCCTCTCTTTTGTTTTCCTTGCTGCGCTGGCTAAAAACACTAGTATGTTAACTAGAAATAGTGAGAGCAGAGTAGAGAATCTTGCCCTTTTCCCAAACATTAAATCTGATATTAACTGTAGGTTATCTACGTATATTCTTGAATAACTTGAGAAAGCTGCCCTTTGTTCTTAGTTTAGAGTTTTTATTCTAAATAGATGTTGAATTTTTGTCAATTTTCCTGCAAATTGAAATGTGAAATGACCATATGGTTATTCTATTTTAGGCTACTAATATGATGATTTCCATCAGTTGGCTTTGTATGTTGAACCAACCTGGCATTTGTGAATTAAAGTACGCTTGGCCATTATGTACTTTTTCAAATTTTACTGGATTTGATTTGCGAATACCATTAGGATTGTTTGTGTTCATGTTTAGGGGAAATGTTGGTCATTTTTGTTTGTTTGTTTTTCCTATGTCTCTGTCTGGTTTTAGCCTCAGGGTAATGCTAATCTCATAAAATATGTCAATGAGTCTCTTCCCTTTCATTGCTTATATTGGTTATCACACCTTATTCTTAATCTGTAAAGCCATGGGATTACCATTTGCATTATTTTTAATTCACGATTCTTTTGTTTCTCCTCGTCATTGTGTTTTCTATTCATCTTTCCTTTTTTCATCATGTCCTTTTTACTTTCTTGCAGTTTAATCCACAACATTCCTTATTCTAATTTATTGAGACAGATGCTTAGCTATTTTCAGGGTTTCTTCTTGCCTGATCTTCCTTATTGCTATACATTTCCCTCTATTACAGGTTTGGGTAGATTTGATTTTGTGAATGGTAATAGTAAGCTTAAGTCTTTATTTTTTCCATACGGGTAACTGATCCAGAGCAATTATTTTGAAAGAACACCTTTTCCCCACTATTCTAGAGGGCCACCTTTGTCATAATTTCAAGTATCAAATGTCAGTTCTGGATCTTCTTTTACCATTGATCTGTTTGACTACCCCATATGTAACACCACATAGTATTAATTACTGACATTTTACAGGAAATCTTAGTGTGCTAAATTTTCTAAATTTGTTATTCCAAAAGGTCTTACCTATTCTTGCCTTCAAGCATTTCCACATATAATTTTAGAACCAAACTGTTAGATGATTTTTTTGGGGGGTTGGAGTCTCACTCTGTCACCCAGGTTGCAGGGAAGTGGTGCATACTCACCGCCATCAAAGCCTCGACCTGCTGGGCTCAGGTGATCCATCTACCTCAGCCTTCCGAGTAGCTGGAACTACAGACGCACACCATCATGCCCAGCTAGTTTTTTGTGATTTATTGTAGAGATGAGGTCTCACCAAGTTGCCCAGGCTGATCTCGAACCCTCAGGCTCAGACAATCCTCTCACCTTGGCCTTAAAGTGCTGGGATTACAGGTTGAGTCACTGCACCTGGCCAATTGTAAGATTTTTTTAAAAGCTTACAGCAATTTTTATATGGAGTATTGGATATTTGGAAAACTTATGCAACATTATTGAGGAATGTTGAAGAACATGACTAATTTTATGTGTTAGACACTGTCAGGGGCAATTATAAGATCTGCTGATAAAGAATTATGAAGACAGAGCATCAGAGTAAGCCTGATAAAGAATTATGCAAAACAAGACATCGAGCAAACTCAATGTAACTACTGATGAAAACTGAATATCTACCATTTACTAACAGGAAGATGATTTATAACAATGATAACTTTAATTTGATATAGAGTTCAAAATCCACTACAGCTCTGTAGCCAGGTGCTGGCTACCTGCAGGCTACACAGTATTTTTACTGTTGTCCAATAATAAAATGAGCTGATGCTATATTTATGAATAGGATCGCTCATTTGGATTTCAATTTCTTTTCCCACTCCCAAAATATACATCAATCACTTTGGGGGAAAGTGACATCTTTAACATGGAGTTCCCACATCTTTCTCAGGTCTACCCTCACCCCTGCAGAGGTTTTCACCCAGAGGAGTCCCACCTGTTCACAACAGAATTCAGCCATGCCGGAAATGTGAAGGAATCAAGCAGGATACCCTGTTTATCCCACAGATGTCCTCATCCTTCCCAACCAGTATGTTCTCCTGCAGGGCACCTCCAGAAGGGTGCTCATCAAAAGCTGTTCATGGAGGAATAGGTGGAACCTTGGAAAGTAGGGAAGGGAACAGTTTGGAGATCTCCAGTTCTCCAGTCTATGCAGGAATGGCTTCTCACCCAAAAAGCCTTCCATTGTAACTGTCTTTAGTTCCCAGAAAAAAGTTGGGGCTGCAGGGCAGGGGTCAGAAAGGAGTGAAGAAACATTAGCCAGGGTCTTTATGTGCAATCACGGTGGTTTATAAGTGCATGTAAACACAAATTAAAAGTATTAAAAATGATAATCTAACAGCAAAAATAAGGCCACCAGAGTCAGAGACAGTAAAATGGGCCAGTCATGGGGTGGGCGATCAAAAGCAGAGCATCCGGAGGGCAAAGAAAGTTCATATGTGGTTTTACACATGAGACTCAGCATCCTGTTGTAGGAGAGAGGAAAGATTTTAAAAGAACTAATATTAACTGAGAAATGTGCTCTATGTTGTACTTTTATCTGCTGATCAAAAATATTAAGACTGGTGAAACAGTCTTGCTGGAAGTCACTTAATCTGTGAGTTGTTGAGCCAGGATTGAAACCCAAGAGCATTTGGCTTCAGTAACAAAGTCTTTCTACCACAACAAGTTCCCGGTTGTGGAGAATAAAATGGAGATATGTTCAAAATGCGTCAAATTCAAGGTCCCGGGCCCTTCCAGAAGCAGGTCAATGTATACACTTAAGATGGGAAAATGCATACATGCCAACTTAACTGAATCTGATGAACCCAATCTTTCCATCTTTGTATAAGAATATTACATGTAGCTTTAGAGGTCATGCTCAAGCCAATTTTTAAAATGAGTTTCTAGGAGTTGATGTTTTACTTTCTTCTTTACTCAAGTTTTCTTCTATGTTTATAGAAAATTACTGTGTGGCCACAATTATACCAAGCTAATATTAGCTATTTTGCATTGTCTGATTATGGTTAGGTAATATAATAAAAAACATGTAACTTGACAATATTTTGCATATATGGCTTGCCCTACTGATCATTTAGCTCATAACTTTAAAAGCTTTATATGCCATGTTAAAAGTGTCCTTCATATATAGAATTATTTTCTATAATCTTTGCTGAAAAACGCATCGCCACACTAGAACCATAAAGTCCCTTACAATTTTATCTAGAGCCGCCATCCCCAGGTTTACCAAACTCATCAGGTTTCTAGTAATTATTAAGGCTTGAACTAATACTGAAGGCTTTTCTGTGGTCAGTGGATTACGACTTTACATCTGTATGAATTCTCTGATGTACCGTGAGTTGTGACTTCTGGATGAAGGCCTTCCCACATACAGCACACCGATAGGGTCTTTCCCCAGTATGAATTCTCTGATGTAAAACAAGGTCTGACTTCTGGGAAAAGGCCTTTCCACATTCTGCACATATGTAAGGTTTCTCTCCTGTATGAATTCGCTGATGCCCTGGGAGGTGAGATTTCTGAGAGAAGGCTTTCCCACATTCAGTACATATATAAGGTTTTTCTCCCGTGTGAATTCTCTGATGTCCAATCAGATGTGATTTCTGACAGAAGGCTTTTCCACATTCACTGCATTTGTAGGGTTTCTCCCCAGTGTGTGTTCTCTGGTGTATGATGAGCTGTGACTTCCGGGAGAATGTCTTCCCACATTCGGTACATTCATAGGGTTTCTCCCCAGTATGAATCAACTGATGCGTAATGAGTTCTGTCTTCCTGCTGAATGCTTCCTCACACTGAGCACATTTGTAGGGCTTTTCACCGGTGTGAATTCTTTTATGTATAATGAGGTGGGACTTCTCACAGAAGGCTTTCCCACATTCGGCACACTCATATGGCTTCTCTCCAGTGTGGGCTCTGTGATGTATAATCAGCTGTGACTTCTGGGAGAAGGCCTTTCCACACTCTCTACATCCATATGGCTTTTCCCCAGTATGTATTCTCTGATGTATAATGAGGGGTGATTTCTGGGAGAAGGCTTTCCCACATTCACTACACTCATATGGCTTTTCCCCAGTGTGAACTCTCTGATGTATAATGAGGGATGATTTCTGAGAAAAGGCTTTTCCACATTCAGAGCAATCATAGGGTTTCTCCCCAGTATGAGTTCTCTGGTGTACAACAAGATGAAACTTCTCACTGAAGGCTTTTCCACAAGCACCACAATCATAAGGTTTCTTTCCAGTATGAATTCTCTGATGTACAATGAGCTGTGACTTCTTAGCAAAGGCTTTTCCACATGTGATACAGACACAGGTTTTCTCCCTAGTTTCAACATTCTGATATTGAACAAGGGATTGTTTATTGCTGAAAATGTTTCCACACTGATTATCATCATGGGGTATTACTCCATTGTGAATTTTCTCAAGATTAGAATTGGACTCATTGTGCTTAGATGATTTTCCACATCCAAAATTCTCATCATGGTTTTTTCTTGAATTGCTCTTATTACAACTAGGTAGGTCAATATTCAGTTTTAAGTTGCTTTTTAAAGCATCATATTTATGGAGTCTCTGTCTTGATGTCTCTAGCTCTATGCACTCTTGAAATACTTTCCCCAGTGGATCACATTTATGGCCTGATGCCTCAGTCACCGTTTTGCTGTTGATGAATGTGATTTGCCTGAAAAATTTGTCTTGGGTTTCCTGACATCTCTGCAGCTGGTCATCACCTTGACAGACTTTTAAAATGGAGTACAATGAACCAGCCTTTGTGACTCCTTTCAGCATCTTATTATGGAAAGAAACTTTCCCCAGAATACATGACTGGGAGTTGTGACGGTTACTCCTCATGTCTAAAATAAGAAAAGATAAAATTAAAGAGTCATCACAAGAGTCAATAAACGGAGGGTAGAAAAGTAGAATAAATGGATGGAGACAGGTCATCTCAGAGGATAGTATAGCCTACAGTGTTATCAGATGAACAGATAGACAAAGCTGTTAAAGACAGATACTCATGTGAAAACTACACCTGTAGGAGGTAGGAAAGCGTCTGGGTTCTTACCACTTTATTCTTGAATTATCCTTCTAGAATCTTCCATTTCCTCTACTTTCTGAACAGAAACCCTTTTCACCTTCTGAATTCATTTATCTTACAAACCATTTGCTACACATGCCTATTAAATTGCTACCACTCCAAGAAACAAGGTGTCTTCTGTATTCAAAATACTTTAACCCTCCTCAGTCCATTTTTCCTAATTAACAACCAACACGAATAACAGAAAAAGTCAAGATCCAGGTACAGATTCAGTATTAGGGTCACATCGAGAATACATGCTTAAAGTCCATGTCTCCTAATAAACTACCCTTTATATGTGTCAAGTAAAACTAGCCAAATCCCCCAGAAAATCCTTATCTCCCTGACTTTAATATTCCGTTTATATTCTCTCTCTCCCACACTGTTGACTTGCCTTCACCTTCCTTTCGCAGCCTCATCAGCATTTATGTCATTCAGAACAGCTACAGCTGCATGTTCTGGAAAATGTCTTCTCAATTTCTACCCCATCTCTTTAGACTCTAATTTTCTCAGAACTTTTTTTTTTATTTATAAGTTGGAGTCTCACTCTGTTGCCTAGGCTGAAGTGCAGTGGCACACTCACGGCCACCGCAGACTCAACTTGCTGGGCTCAGGCGATCCTTCCACCTCAGCCTTCCAAGTAGCTGGAACTCCAGGCATGCGCCACCACGCCCAGCTAATTTTTGATTTATTGTAGAGACGAGGTCTCACCGTGTTGCTCAGGCTGGTCTGGAATCCCTGAGCTCAGGCAATCCCCTTGCCTCCACCCCCAAAGTGCTGGGATTATGGGTGTGGGCCACCAAGCCCAGTTTCTCTGAACTTTTAAAACAGTAACTTTATCTGACATTTAGTTTTGTACAGTCATGGATCTGGGAGTCTTATCTACTGAAGTACAACCTATATTCTTTGAAGGAATTTGTTTTCTATTGCCTTTAAAGTCCTTTCAAAAAAAGACACTAAAATATACAGACATTAGAGAAAGAAAAAGGTTCAACAAGAAGTAGCACTCCTCTGAAAGGCTCATGATTACTTTCCATTATCTATCGAATGCCTACTAAATGCCTACAACAATTATTTGGTGAATGCCCACTAAATTGTCAGCACAGGAGCGAAGAACAGGAGATTTCAATAAGGATAGAAACATAAGTTCCAGGCACCAATCAATTAAAAAATAAAACACACACAAATTGGTATTTCACACTTCCCTTGTCTCCCATCTGCCTGATCTTCACCTGGATAGATCCAATTTGGTCTGTCTCTCTTTATGATCCATGGTTCTTCTCCTTGTTCCAACTTGGAAATAACATCTGGTTTGGAAACGGGATACCCTATCAGAGAAATCATAGGGGAATTGAGATTGACTGCACCGAAGAAAAAAGAGAAGATACAGTTTCAGGTGGTCTAGAATAAAGTTGTCCAGTTAGCCCCCAGCAAAGTAATGGCCTCCATTTGGGAAGGCACGAAGTTTATAAAAGTCATTATGTATATTAGGAACCCCCTAATCATAGCAACTGATAAGGAAAGACACTTGATTGGACAACTCTGAGTCATTCGGAGAAGCTGTTCTTACCCATGGATACCAGGTGGCTGTAATTCTCTAGCATCACATCTCTGTACAGAGTCCGCTGTGCAATGTCCAGTTGCTGCCACTCCTCTTGGGTGAAATCCACAGCCACGTCCTTGAATGATACTAACCCCTGTAACAATACATTCCTGTTCAATCATTCTCACACAAAACTACACCCAAACCCAGTTCTGTATTATAGTTTTTGAGAAAAACAAAGCAAAATCCTGTCTTTAGCAAAAACAACCAGACAGATTAGGCAAGCAGAAGAGGTAAACCATAAAATGCCTATCAAACACGTATCGTAATTTCACAAATTATAAAGGCAGCGCCCAAGTAACTGGGAGGAAAATGGATTATTGGATGGATTCTTGGATGAATAGCAGTGAAACAATTGGATAGTCAACAGGAAAAGAATAATGTTGAAGAACTGTTATGGATTGAATTGTACTCCTGAGAATTAATATGTTGAAGCCCTAAACTCCAGGACCTCACAATAGGATATAACTTGGAAACAAGGTCACTGTAGACATAACTAGCCATATGAGGTCATCAGGGTGGATCCTAACCCAATATAATTGGTGTCCTCAAAAGGGGAAATCTGAACACACACAGATACACATAGAAGGAAGATGATATGAAGAGACAGAAAAATGGCCATCAATGAGTCAAGGAGAGAGGCCTGGAACAGAGCCTTCCTCATAGCCCTCAAGAAGGAACCAATCCTCCAGACACCTGGATTTTGACCTTCTAGGCTCCAGAACTGTGAGATAAGATATTTGTAGCTTAAGCCACGCAGTTTGTGGTACTTTGTTATGGCAGTCCTGGTAAACCAGTACACCATATCTTATGCCTTGGGGAATAAAAGCACATTCTGATGGAACAAAAATTTAAATTCTAGTACTAGAGACCATAAAAGTAACAAAATAAAACACGGGAGAATTTTTACTAATAAATATACAACAGAGAAGGTCTTTTGTTTTTTTTGAGTTGGAGTCTCATTCTCTCGCCAAGGCTGAAGTGTAGTGGCATGCTCACGGCCACTGCAGCCTCGACCTGTTGGGTTCAGGTGATCCTTCTGCCTCAGCCTTCCAAGTAGCTGAAACTACAGGCACATGCTACCACACCTGTTTTGTTTTTTTTTTATTTATTGTAGAGATGAGATCTCACCAAGTTGTCCAGGCTGGTCTCAAACCCCTGAACTCAGACAATCCTCTTGCCTCGGCCTCCCAAAGTGCTAGATTACAGGCTTCAGGCACCACGCCTGGCTAAGAAGATCTTTTTAAGTACAAAGAATAACTACATTTAGAGAATTATAGAATGTCAGAGCTGTAGACCATTAACCTAATCTTCTCATTTCATAGGAAAAAAGATTTTAGCTTTCCCCAAGTTCAGAAGCTCTCTTATTAAGTGCAACAGCCAGTAATATAATGAAATACACCAATTACATTAGAAAAAAAAAAACCCAAATAATAAACTTGAAAAAAGATGCATTAATTAATGAAGAAAACCACATTAATGAAGAAAACATATGAGTTACATGACATCAACAAAGAATTTGGGTAAGAGTAGAGCTATAAAATATCTCTGGAGGGAAAACTGACTGTTTTAATTATGTCACCACTATCCTCACAATAGTTATCATCTAATAACAAATCAATCTAATAGTCATTTGTAATATTTTAAATATTTTCCCCCTAAATATTCCATTGTTACCAAACATTGCTTTCAGAATGAAAACAAAATTATTTCAGATATGAACAATGCCTGCTTAAAGGCTTTTTTTGTCTCCTTGTATACACAATCAGTCATTTCATCTCGGTCTTCTCAGTTTCAAGTGTTCTTTCCTCCTACATCAAGTTCTACATCCACACCATCAAGCTGTCCAACATTTAGTCTGCCCATGACAACCCTATTCATTTTCTTATTCTATGTATGAGAAAACTGAGAATTATGATGGTTAAGTAAATATCTGTGAAAGGGTACACACTGAATATGACTGATTAACTCTCAGATTAGATTTATTCTAAGTTGTTAGCCTAGTTCTTGACGACTGCCATCCAAACTGCCTCCCTGACATTGTAAACAGCACAATCTTTTCTATTTTATCACTTCAATGTCACCCTGAGTCAATCTTTTATTCTTTTTTTGAGTTGGAGTCTTATTCTGTTACCCCAGCTGGAGAGCAGTGGGACGCTCATGGCCACCGCAGCCTTGACCTGCTGGGCTCAGGCAATCCTTCCGCCTCAGCCTTTAAGTAGCTGGAACTAAGTCAATCTTTTCATGAAGCATTTTCTACTTTAGTTTCCCTGAAATTCTCAGCCTTTCTAAATCACTCTGCCCTTTTTACCTTTACAAATGCTGCTTCCTGGCCTCACCCTACTTCCCTCACGAGCCAAAGTTCAATCGTTGCTTCAACCTAGGCCTTACTTCCTTGAGAAGCTGGTGATTCCCCACTCTCTGCACTAACAGTAACTGCTCCCACATTTGCTGTAGAGTTTTTACATGTCAATGTTGGTTCCTACATCTCTTTAACCCATTTTCTCTGCAGTCATCTCAGAAGAAAACCATGCCTAAATATTCTCAAGATACTCAACAGCTAGCCAGTGCCTATGATACAGAGTGAGTGTGTAAAAACACAAAAAGGAAAATAGATAAGATTTAAAAAGAATAAAATAAGTTAAAAACTCATATTTATTAAAAATTGTTTTGTGGCCAGGTTCGGTGGCTCAGCCTGTAATCCTGTGCTTTGGGAGGCTGAGGTGAGTGGATTGCCTAAGCCTGTGGGTTCTAGACCCGCCTGGGCAACTTGGCGAGACTTCATCTCTACAATAAATCAAAAAATTAGCCAGGCGTGGTAGCACGCGCCTGCAGTTCCAGTTACTTGGAAGGCTGAGCGGAAGGATCACCAGAGCCCAGCCAGTTGAGGCTGCGGTGGCCGAGAGTGTGCCACTGCACTCTAGTCTGGACAACAGAGTGAGACTTCAACTTAAAAAAAAAAAATTGTTTTGTGCAATAGTCAATTACACTCCTTTGATCTGAAGAACAGTAACAAGAGGAAGATCATAGTGTGAAATGTAAAGGAAATTCATTCTCAGAGGAACATTCAAAGATCTTATAATTTCAACACTCTGACTTTGCTTTATTAATGACACTCAAATGCTTCAATATATTAAATAGGTATAAACTGTGTTAATTTTGAGAAAAATATAGTTGCACAATCAGTGGGAAATTGTATTTCTGCCATCTATCAACAGTTTTTATAGCTTGGGTGATTGGGGGAACAGAAGTACCATTGAAAGACATGAACAATGAAAGGGAAGTTGTCAGAGAGAGAAAGAAAGGATACGTGTGAAAGTGATGACTTCCCTTCTGGATGATATGGAAAAACTCTAAAGCCTTCTTCCTAAAGGAACAAGCAATTAGTTAATTAATTAGTCATAGTAGTTGGAGTCACTGGGCTAATAAAAAAATTCTGCTTTCTCAAAGCAGTGCTGTCTAACAGAAATATCAAGTTCACCAGGTAGGTAAGTTTAAATTTTCTAGGAACCACGTTCAAAAATTTATTTTTATTATTTATTTATTTAATTTTTTAAGAAACAGGGTCTTACTACGTTGCCCAGGCTGTTCTCAAACTCCTGGGCTCAAGCAAGCCTCATGCCTGGGCTTCACAGTGTGCTAGGATTTACAGGCATGAACCACTGCCCCGGCCAAAAGAATTATTTACAATAATATACATTTATTCTAAAATATAATTTTAACATGTAACCAAGCCTTAAAAATGATTGGTGAGCTTTTTTTGGAACTGTATCTTTGAAATCCAGTATGTACTTGCTACAACATATCTTAATTCAGACTAGCCAGCTTCAAGTACTTAATAACTACATGTGACTGGTGGCTACGATACTGGACAACATGACTCTAAGGATACTGACATCCAAAAAAAGAAAGATAATACTTCATCTTTTTGCAATAGAACTCAGCTGTTAAGGTCTACTGTAAAATGTACATAGGGCTCCAAATGTAAAAGCTGATTTCAAGATTTGATAATGACAATGATGATGATGTAATAACAGTGAACACTTAAATACAGCACAAACCACATCCTAGTTATGGTTCTAAGCATGGTTTGTACTCACCCAATTCTCACAACAACCCTGTGAGGATTACAATCTCCATTTTACACATGAGAAAACAATCCTACACAACCAGGTCACAAGGCTATATTATGCATGCAATAAAATAATAAAGGAGAACTCTATGACTGACATGAGAGGTATACAAAACCTTTATACTGGACACTAAGTTAAAAATGAGACTGCAGAATGCTTTTTATAACGTTATTTTTCCAAAAGAAAAGCACAAGAAAATAAGAGACATTCCCACATATTTGTATTGCTACATATACACATTTAGTTGTAGTAATACTCATATCAAAAAAGGTTTGAGAGGTTAGAAATAAAACGGTTAACACCGATTATCCCAGAAGAAGGCGAGTGTAAGTTCAAAGGTCCCTTGGTTTTAAGTTTCTACCTTTTTATACAATCTTAAATGTTTATATCATACATAGCAAATGTTGGCAGCAAGAAAAAAACATATGGAACATCAGGGATCTTTGCCCTCCAAAGATTTGCCGGATAAATGTGATAATTGCTTTTTCAGAGAAATATGTATTTTAGAAGACCATTCAAAATGTGCCTATCCCAGTTATGGAGATTTTCTCTCTCGACAAAGCTGGACTATAGGAAGCAGCTGTAATCAAGCTTCTCCTCTAAAGCAGGGGTCATATGTTGTCTGCTGTAACTACTCAACTCTGTCATTATAGCTTGAAAACAGCCAGAGACATGTAAACAAATAGCCTGGCAGCGCTCCAATAAAGCTTTGCTTATAAAAACAGCTGAAGAACTGGATTTGGACCAGGAGTTTGCCAACCCCTGCTCTAAAGAACAAAGTTTAAGCAGTTGGACTATGACATCATGATGCCTTCCCTCTGAAAAAGATAATTTTAGGACCTAACTATAAGAAATCATTTACCTAAGGCGTATTGGTGAGGACACTGTATTTCATCTCCTAGAGTAAAACCCCAAAAGGGATGTGTTTTAGTCTTGTATAGCAAGAATTTTATTTATTTATTTATTTATTTATTTTGAGTTGGAGTCTTACTCTGTCACCCAGACTGGAGTGCAGTGGCTGCTCCCAGCCACTGCAGCCTCGAACTGCTGGGCTCCGGCGAACTACAGGTACACGCTACCATGCCCGGCTAATTTTTGATTTATTGTAGAGATGAGGTCTCGCCAAGTTGCCCAGGTGGGTCTCGAACCCACGGCCTCAGGCAATCCACTCAACTCAGCCTCCCAAAGCGCTGGGATTACAGGCTGAGCCACTAAGCCCGGCTGAATTTTTTTTTTAAACTATGGGACATTTATCTTTCTCTTAGGAGAATGCAAATCCTGGAACTGATGATGTGTGCAAGATCGGAAAAACTGGTACATTAATTTACAAAAATAGTTTCAAGCCAGGCTTTCTACATATTACTTGGCAACTTTTTCTAGGTCTTGGTCTTTATTCTTGCTACCTTTTCCCTAATCCAAATTTTAGCAATCATTACTTTCCATTTGGTTGTATGGAAAACCAAAGGGAACTCTTTTTTTTTTTTTTTTTTTTGAGTTGGAGTCTCACGCCATCGCCTAGGCTGGAGTGCAGTGGCACACTCACGACCACCCCTGCATCAAACTGTGATCCTTCTGCCTCAGTTGTCTGAGTAGCCGGAACTACAGGTGCGTACTACCATGCCCGGCTAATTCTTTTTTAATTTATTGTAAAGACAAGGTCTTGCCAAGATGCCCAGGCTGGTCTCGTACCCGCGGGCTCAGGCTATCCACTCATCTCAGCCTCCCAAAGTGCTGGGATTACAGGCTGAGTCACCCAGCCCGGCCGGAAGTTTTTTTTTTAAAAAAGCAGCTCACCTGGGACTTCATCATCATTTTCTGCTCTCTTCCAAAAGGGCAGGTATCTGAAAAAGCAAAGAGTGATCAGAAGCAAGTTTTCATAGCCCAGACCCAGGGTTCACCAGTCTAGAAACAACCACCACCAGAAGTCAGGGGATAACAGGCAATCCTGTGGGAGAAGGTCATTCATTGAGAGTTACAGAAGCCTCAGCAAGTACCACATGAAGGAGGCAGCGACATCTCCTCCTCTTGTGTCTGTCATATGATCACACAATTTCCTGAAGTTTTTTATTGGCTATACATGAAAATATACTTCTGGTCGATTTACTAATGACTTATTGCTTCGCCTGGGAACCAGCAATCCTATTTGTAGAATTATCAAAAGGCAATGAATCATGGACAGAGATAAAGATTTGATCGTAGCTGAAGTTCTCTGGTAATAAGAATAGAAATGATGAGGCTGGGTGTCATCTGTCATCTCAGTACTTTGGGAGGCTGAGGTGGGAGGATCCCCTGAGCCTAGGAGTTTGAGGCTACAGGATGCTATAATTGCACCTCTGCACTCCAGCCTAGGTGACAGAGCAAGACCCTGTCTCTAAAAACAAACAAGTAAACAAGGAATGGCCAAATGGAAAACTGAGGAAAGCATTTCTTTGTTTCCCAGAAAGGACCAGCAGCTGAATTCCCATAATCTTCCAAGAGCTTTCTTGTATTTTCCCCCAACTCAGCAAACTCGCCTGCCAAATCAATATTCCTGAACTAAAATGTTAATTTTAAGATGTTTTCTATTTAAATTTTTATTGATTTTTAACAGGGCTGTTGTCTGCATACAAAAGTGTTGTAAAAGAGAATACACTACAGTGCAGGAAGGTGCATACTCAGGAGATGCCTCCCAGCCCCAGGAGACAGGGATAGGGCTAAACAGGGCTGAACTAGTTCAGAGTAAGTGGGGTTCCCAGGACAGGGAGAGTAGTTTTTACCGGGCATCCTGGGCTTTATCAAGACAGATCTGGAAGGAAACAGGAGAAACAGTCATTCTCATCTCTGGACATCCAGGAAATGCTCAATAAATGTTTCTTGAATAAAATATAAAATGATTTCAAGAAACTTAGAAAGAAGAGGAATGAAATAAAACTTTTCATAGTAATTCCACCCCTTTGATGTCTGGTCTTCTTTTGTTTCAATGATCATTTCTGAAGGGAGCACCATGCTATGGTGGACAGAGGCAATGGTGGGCAGAGGAAAGATGTGAGAAGGGGCTTGACTCTAAGAACTCAGCGGTGGTCTATGAGCGGTGGAAATTTAAGGTAAGAAAAGCCCGTCCCAGTGATCTGCGGCTGACCCCGTGGCGCCCTGACCCCACGACTGTCCTCTCCAAATCTGGGAATTCTCAAGTCCCACCACATTCTCTCCTGAGCTCCCCTAACCTCCATCATGTCATTGACCACGACCGCGTAGACGCCCCCATGGCTATCACGTCACTGACCCCGTGGACGGCCCCCACGTCCATCACGTCACTGACCACGCGGACGCCCCATCACTTAGTCCACAGCCCCCATCCCTGAGTCCCCGGAGTCCCCAAAACACTGCCCCAGTTACACCCACCATCAGTCCACCCGCACGCCATCCCCGACCCCGCAGACGCCGCATCACCCCATCACGTCCCAGGTACTCATCACACAGCCCATCCCACCTGCGACCCCCAAATAAACCCAACATAACCCCGCATGCCTCTCTCACCAGTGACCTCACAACCTCCTTCCCTGACCCGCACGGACGCCTGCCCAATAGCAACCCCGGCCTCCCCCATCCCCGTACGTGTCCCTCTTCCGAGCCCCACTTCGGTCCTCAGGTCCCGGAACGCCCGTCGCCGCTCGTGAGGGTGGCTGTCACATCCGCCTCGGAGGACTCTCCTGCTTCCTGTCGGTGGACCCCATTCAGGGCTCCAGGGGCGGCGCAGCCCGGTCCCGGGCGGTTTTGCCCATTCCGCCCCCTCGGCGGCTTTGTCCGGGAGGCAACATGGCCGCTCCCTGCCGCTGCTTCGGTGGGAGCCGCCATCTTCGGGGTCCGGCCGGCTCCGTACGCGCGGAGGGCTTGGGCCAGCTCCCAGCCCGAGATTGGACTGTACCACAGCGACAGAGAGAGGAAGGGGATATGGGGGAAAGGAGGACTGCGATTCCAACCAGTGAGGTACAGAGAGATTTTACAGGGCAACAGGGAATAAATTGGAGTAATAATGTTTTCTATTGGAAGGATACCTTTGGCGAAAGGGGAAGAATTTGGAATGGCTCAACATTTTCCTTGGCGAGTCTACGCAAACGTTTATAAATGGTACAGTCCATCCCGGGAGATTCCACTGTGGGAGACAGGGGTCAAAACGTGGATGGTACGTCCTCTCCCGGGAGATTCTACTGTGGGAAAGGGGTGAACACGTGGATGTTACGATCCTCCCGGGATTGATTCCACCGAGGGAGAGGTGAACACAAGGATAGTACCGTCCTCTCCTGGGAGAGTCCACCACGAGAAGGGAGAGCAAAGTCTGGGGGCGGGGAGGGGAGAAACAGCATAAAGTGTAATGACAAGGAGTTCTTCTAGGGGAAGCTGCAACCGCAGTAATAAGTTGCAGGGCTGCCGGAAGGCAAAAGAGGAAAATGGAGAGAGGGGGAAGAGACTGCGTAACAGAGAGAAGGACAGCCAGAAGCAGAGAATAAGAGACAGAGAAAAGGGGGGAAACGGTGTGCAGAACACCCGTGATACAAATGATTCCATCTTAGAAAAAGATTCCATCGTACATTTAAAAGACATCATGCCGAGCCGGGCGCGGTGGCTCAAGCCTGTAATCCCAGCACTTTGGGAGGCCGAGGTGAGGGGACTGCCTGAGCCCACGAGCTCGGGAACAGCCCGGGCAGTTTGGCGAGGCCGCGTCTTTACAATAAATCAAAGAATTAGCGGGGCGTGGGAGCCCTCGCCTGTAGTTCCGGCTACTTGGAAGGCTGAGGCGGAAGGATCACTGGAGCCCAGCAGGTTGACGCTGGGGTGACTGAGCTTGCCACTGCACTCCAGCCTGGGCGATGGAGTGAGACTCCAACTCACCAAAAAAAAAAAAAGTCATCTTGCCAACAGGGACAAGGTGTCTTGCCTAATCAATAAAGATAAGGACATAACCGAGCACACTCCTCCGCTCTCTGTCCTCACCAGGGGACTCTGTGGCCACAAAAGAGCAGGACTTCACCAGCTCTAAATGGCCATCTTAACAGACTCCGTCTTGCTGGGCACTCATGATAAGCCCCCAGCTTCTGCCACCCAAGGCTCTGCCCACATCAAAGCCTCTTCCTTTCAAGACATGCGGACCTGACACACAGCCTGTGTAGGCCCAGAAAAATCCCCTAATCACCTTCCTTTCCTTTAGATTGGTTCATTAACCCTTTCTCTTATCCCTTTTTTCTTGATGTTAGGTATTTGTTGTAGAATGCTTAATCTATAACATACATTGATTAAGTTTACGACTATGTATGGTTTTCAGTCTAGATTAAAATATCGCCCTGGTGCCACCTAAAAAGTCAGAACTGAAAGGAACAAAGCATTATCAAGTCACTTAACAAAACTACAGAACAAAGATTCAAAAATACATATTGGCCAAGCACAGTGGCCCAGGCCCATAATCCCAGCACTTTGGGAGGCTGGGGTGAAATGATCGCTTGAGCCCAGGAGTTTGAGACCAGCCTGGACGATATATCGAGGTCTCATCTCTACAAAAATATAAAAATTCACCAGATGTGGAGGCATGCATTGGAGTCCCATTTACTTGGGAGGCTGAGGCAGAAGGATCTCCTGAGCCCAGAAGTTGAAGTCTGCAGTGAGCTGGGATCGAACCACTGCGTTTCTAGCCTAGGCAACGGAGTGAGATCCCATCTCAAAACAAACAAACAAAACTGGAGCACAGAAATATCTATCATTCAACAAGCTACAATAACAATGTCTGGCATCAAATCAGTAATTATCAGGCATGAGTAGACTTAATTATTTCCCCCTTGGATCAGGAACAAGGCACGGGTGTTCACTCTCACCACACATTCAGCATAGTACTGGAAATTCCACCCTCTACAATAACACATAACACAAGAAAAAAAAATTAGAAGCATAAGCATACAGATCAGAAAGGGAATAAATAAAAGTACTCTATATGCAAATGACATGATTGTCTCTGTGATGTCAGAAAATGATGTCAGAAATGTGGCTAATAAGAGGCTCCCAGTTATCCTTCCTCCAGCATATGCACCAGATAAATACCTGCACATGGATCAGGCACCTCCAAGAGAAAGTCAGAGACTAGCTGATGACTCCTGCACATAGGACAATGGAGAAAATGTCCACACCAACGTGGTAGTAAAAGCAGACACATTCATGCACAGATTGGGAGGAAGGTCCCAACTCCGGTTCTTCCTGAGGATGGAAGGATTTGTACCACACATATAGCACTCCAACTTTCATGATCCCTGCCAGACAGATTGGCTCTTAAATCATTGTAAGGCAAGAGTGGAAAAAAAGAGAATGAGCTGAGTGGTTAGGCAAGAAATGAAAATTTATTAGAGGGAAAAAAAAGGAAGACTCGCTCTTGAGAAGAACCAGCGGGTCCCTCTTATACCCCAGAGCTGGGGTCTGGTGGTCATGCAGCACACGTAGTCCTGAGGAAGCAGGTGCTGGTGGTCACATAGTCCCGAGACGTAGCCTTGAGGAAGCAGGCTGGTGCTGGTGGTCATGTAACCTTGAGGAGGCAGGTGTTGGCAGCAAAAACAAGATGTCGCTTAAGCAGGCAGGGAAGGAGTGGGGAGGGGTGAGTGGGGGTTGTAGCTCCCTTAAAATCACCTTGCAGCCGGGCTTGGTGGCTCAGCCTGTAATCCCGCGCCTTTGGGAGGCTGAGGTGAGTGGATTGCCTGAGCCCGCAGGTTCGAGACCCAG